TAAAGGTTCATTAACAAGAATATGTTAAACAATAACAATCATTTTACTACCTCTTTTTGTATTCCGCGAGCCTTTCCGTGTTCACGGGTCTCCACTTTGCTGTCTTTTTCGTATTCGATCTTTATATATGATATACAGTCATTTCCCTCAATTGCGACAGTTATTTTCTTCACGCCAATGAAAATACCATCGTCAAATGCTGCTCCATTTTTACCACCGAACGGTCCCACTCTCACACCTTCTAGTGGACCAAAATAAGCTCCAATGGCATCAAGAGCAACACCAGAGCGTCCAAAGAATCCAAGAAGCTTTTCTCCATGTTTACCCTCCAGCATGAATTCTGTCCCAGTTGTCACACCAAGTACGTGAGATGTTCTTCCAGTGTTGGTTTTAAAGATTAGTGATGTGATCAGCACAGCCTTATAGAATTCAACATGACCATAGCTCCCACCAACAGATACTATATATTCATTCGGATCATCCACCGAAAACTGGATTTCAATAGAAACAAATGGATCAGTAACATTTAAAGGTTCATTAACAAGAATATGTTAAACAATAACAATCATTTTACTACCTCTTTTCGTATTCCGCGAGCCTTTCCGTGTTCACGGGTCTCCACTTTGCTGTCTTTTTCGTATTCAATCTTTATATATGATATACATTCATTTCCCTCAATTGCGACAGTTATTTTCTTCACGCCAATGAATATACCATCGTCAAATGCTGCTCCATTTTTACCACCGAACGGTCCCACTCCCACACCTTCTAGTGGACCAAAATAAGCTCCAATGGCATCAATAGCTTTACCAGACCGTCCAAAGAATCCAAGAAGCTTTCTTCCATTTCTACCCTCCAGCATGAACTCTGTCCCAGATTTTGTCCCACCAAATACCGGAGATGTTCTCCNATACCATCGTCAAATGCTGCTCCATTTTTACCACCGAACGGTCCCACTCCCACACCTTCTAGTGGACCAAAATAAGCTCCAATGGCATCAATAGCTTTACCAGACCGTCCAAAGAATCCAAGAAGCTTTCTTCCATTTCTACCCTCCAGCATGAACTCTGTCCCAGATTTTGTCCCACCAAATACCGGAGATGTTCTCCCAGTGTTGGTTTTAAAGAATAGTGTTTTGATCAGCCCAGTTTCATAGTATTGAACTTGATCATAGCTTCCACCAATGGATGTGATATACTCATTCGGATAATCCACCGAAAACTGGATTTTGTTTCCCAAAAAAAAAAAAATTATTAGTTTTCAGAAGACTAACGAAATTCATGAGATCGATTTTTGTTACCTCATCTTCTGGTTCTTCACGAAGCCTGTGGCCATGTTCACGGCTTTCAACTTTCCCGTCCTTTTCATATTCGATCATAATATATGATATAAAGTACTCAAGAGGACCTCCCTCTTTTCCCACAGTTATTTTCTTCACACCCTCGAAAACACCATCGTCGAAGTCTGCTCCATTTTTACCACCGAGTGGTGCCACACCTCCTAGTGAACCAGTGTCGAAATAAGCTCCAATGGCATCAAGAGCTTTATCAGAGCGGCCAAAGAGTCCAAGAAGCTTTCCTCCATTATTACCCTCCAGCATGAGTTCTGTCCCAGTTGTCACACCAAATACCGGAGATGTTTTCCCAGTGTTGGTTTTAAAGATTAGTGATTTGATCAGCACAGCTTCATATGACTGAACTTGATCATAGCTCCCACCAACGGATACAATATATTCATTCGGATAATCCACTGAAAACTGGATTTAGTTTCGCAAAACAAAAATAAAATAAAATCATTAGTTATACAGAAACTAAGAAGAATTGAAGAGTACCATATAGCTAGATAGAAAATAGATATATTGATTTCATAAGTAAAACTATGCTATTATTTTAGGATGGATATTTACGTTGCATGTATATATATAGCTGACATTAGAAAATATAATTAATGAAATAAATAAATTATATAACATAGTCAAAATTGACTTATTCTGCAAAATATGATTTTTTTTGTGTCAGTCAAAAAGCATCATTTTAATTCACCAAATCATTTTGATCTTAATAGTAATCAACAATTTAGCTGATTAAAACTAGCTATGGACTAAAATAGTCTAGTTTAGGGGTGGGACAGATCCGGATATCCGGGAAATTTAGAGTATCTGGATCCGGATTCGTCGGATACGTAATTTTAGTACTCGGATTTGTGTCTTTCGGATATCCGAGGTTCGGATATAGGTCTAGAAATTGTAATATCCACGGATATCCGGATTCGGATCCGTAAAAATAATTAAAGAATAAATAAAAAAATATTTTAAAATATAAAAAAATCTAAAAATAATATATAAATTAAATATAATTACACAACTTATAAATATATTTATGATATATAATATTATGAAAGTTAAGATATAATATTATAGGACTAATTTTATGTATAAATATTAATATATCAAATATAGTTATTAATAAAATTAAAAATTAATATATTTTAAAAACAAGGATCCGTATATCTGGACCTAAAAATTGTGATATCTGGATCCGGATTCGGTTTGCACGGATACGAGATTTTACTATCCGGATTCGGATCCGGATGCCCCGGATATCCTATTTTCGGAGCTGATCTCGGATCGAATCTGGATCCCGGATAATAGCCCTAGTTTAGTTAACAAAATTTAACGTTTCTGGTCAATAAGATTAGGGACTAGAATAGTCTAGTTAACAAAATTATCAAAAAGAAGAATTGAGTGATTGAAAAATTGAAGACTTGGTTAATCCAATATGTTTTTAATATGTTTCCTCATTTTTGCCTAATTACCTCTTTTAGTTCCCCACGAATTGTCCCGTGTTCACGGCTGTCAAGTTTCCCGTCCTTTCCGTAGTCAATCTTGATATAGGATATACAGTCAGAAGGACTTCCCTCTATTGCCACAGTTATTTTCTTCACGCCGTCGAAAACACCATCGTCAAATTCTGCCCCCATGTTACCACCCATTGCTCCCACCTTTTTAGACATTATTGCCTTCTCGTCTTTCACAAAAACCTAAGACCGAACCAAGGAGCAACAAACATAGTACTTTGTTATCTCAAACTCCACATAAATTCACATGCAAATGTAAAGAAAAAATGAGAGAGAGAGAGTACCTGAGTGTTAATATGAGAATGAGAGTGATTTGGGGATGGAAAATGGTTTGATATTTATAGCCATTTTGGCGACAAGTTTAGTTAGTTATTGTACACGTTTTCCTTCCCTCAACGATGAAAATGAAAAGATAATTGTCCTTCTCAGTTTTCTTTATTTTTTTCTAAAATTTACAAGTATATTGAATTGTTCGATTCTTCCTTCTCAGTTTTCACACACCAAAAACGGAATGTAGCTGATTTTTTAACCTAAATTGTGTTTCCATTTGATTTTACTGTAACAGTAGATTAGTTAGTGTAGAATTAATCAGTTTACACATTTTAATGCTGTAACTTTATTTTTGCAGTAAAAAACAATCGGGGATATGAAAAAAATATATGAGTTAGTAATTATGTAAATAATATTATTGTTGTCAGTTCAAAAAAAAAAACTTTATTTTTGTGTAGATCACAGCATTGAGAAGACCCAATGAGATTTAAATTGCTTTAGGTTAAAAAACAATGCATGAAAGTGGTGAAAAATACTGTTTTGAGTTTTTGATAAGATGTGGTATGTACAGTTTTAAAAACTTGATTAGCAACAAATGATGTAGAAAGTTCTTTAAAAGCTGTCAAAAATTTACAACCGTTACCAACGACAAACCCTATGTGTTGCAAAGATTTATGTGATACTATTATAATGATAACTAGGTGTTTTGCCCGCACTTGCGGGCATAATTTTCTTACAATTTATTATTAGTCTATATTTTATTAATTCAAATCAATATAATAAGTTATAATATATATTTTAAAATTAGTTATAAATGACAACACTCACATGAAAAAATATTATTAAAAATCTATTTTTACAAATGGTTGCTTTAATTTATTTTAATTATATTTTTCCTATCTTAATTTTTATTGCTATTAAAAAATATATTTTCAAGATAACAATATAATACATAAGAAGTATCTTATTTTCTCAAAATATAATTTTTAATAGAAATTTGTTTTTATTTTAGAATAAATTTTATATGAAATTATTAAAAATATGACAAATAATCAAAATTATCTAAATCATGGAGAAATTACAAATTAGATAATTCACTTAAATTTTCTAAAAGAAAATATATGTTCAAGATAACAATCTAATACGTAAGAATTATCTTATTTTTTAAATCTAGTATTATTAGTATACATTCGCTCACTACAAGAAAACATGTGTCTAACGACTACACTATTGGTTGTTAATTAGTCGTAATATGCCATTTACGACCAATTAACATCGAAAACCAATTGGTCGTTATTCGCTAGTCGTAATGCACAATTAGTCGTAACGTAGTCGTAACATTACGACCAATTAACATCGAAAACCAATTGGTCGTTATTCGCTAGTCGTAATGCAGAATTAGTCGTAACCTAGTCGTAATATTATGACTAATGCATTAGTCGTAAAGTTGAGGTGACACTCGTAGTCGTAACGTGGTCGTAAATTACTTAGTAGTTAATTAGTCGTAATATAGGTAGTAGTTAAGTAGTCGTAATACATGTAGTAGTTCATGAGTCGTAAACATTAGTAGTTACTTAGTCAAAATATTACAACTAAGTAACTTCGACAGTTGTTGTCGATTAGTCGTAAATCAAAGACTAATTTACGACCAATTTTGATTTTATTTTTAAATAAAACGATTTTTTAATTTGATTTTTTTTTTAAATTTTTGTTTTTTAATTCGATTTTTTAAAGAAAATTAATATATAAAGTATTCATACAAAAAACCGAAAAACTAAGGTGTTTTGTTGAGGTTGATGTCTTGGAAGAACTCGGAAGTGTGCTGCTCCGCACGTCGATCAATATCCACTTGCTCTTCCGGAGTGGGGTCGGGGTTAAAGCTCGGACGTAGAGCTTGCCATGCATTTGCAACCGTCGGGTTTGGGTTCGAGGTCTCCATCATAAGATCGAACATATTCGCCATAGCCTTGAACTTGTCTTTATGCTCGTCTATGANCTTGCCATGCATTTGCAACCGTCGGGTTTGGGTTCGAGGTCTCCATCATAAGATCGAACATATTCGCCATAGCCTTGAACTTGTCTTTATGCTCGTCTATGACTTTGTTGGCAGCTGCTAGTTCCCGTCGGAGAGAGGAATCTTCTTCTATTCTTGCTGCATGTTCGGCCCTCGCCCTCGGGACATCGTTCACCGTCCCAATCCCAACAATACGTCTCCTTTTCTTCGGAGCAACCTACAAAAGATCAAATTCTATTTACTAATTATATTTATATAATTAAGTAAAAATGTGAAAATTTAATAAAAAATTAAAAATGTTAATAAAGTTAAAAATTAAAATAATTTACCTGCTCGAAAATCTTGTCTTGGTCGATGGTTATAAGTTGGACCGGTGGAGCATCCGGATTTTGTTGCGACATCTGAGTCTGGACCTCTTCGATCCGAGCCTCTACCTCGTTGTAGATCTTCTCTGCTTGAGGATGCACAAAAGTCCCATCAGAACGCTGGTGGGTAATCTTGTATAGTTGAGAAATTTATCAGTTACTATTCCTCTTGAATCTTTATGTGCATACATCCAACTCCGGATCTCATAAATATTTCTAGACATTTTTAAAAAAAGTTTTCTGTTTTTTTTTCCCGTTTTAAGAATGAGGAAGAAGATCATATTTATAGAGAAATTTCGATTTTGGTAGGTAGTTAACTTAGTAGTTAAACAGATGCAAAATGGATGCAAAAAAATTAGTCGTAATATGGTAGCACTTTTACGACCAATTTACAACCAAATAGTAGTTCATTGGTGGTAAAATATATTAGATGTATATTAGTCGTAAATTTACAACCAATGAGTGTCAATTTTACGACCAATTTACAACCAAATAGTAGTTAATTGGTGGTAAAATATATTAGATGTATATTAGTCGTAAATTTACAACCAATGAGTGATAAATGGCCTTTACGACCAATTAGGGACTACATTTGTAATATATTTAAAAAAAAAAAGAGAAGAAAGACACTGGAATCACAAGTCCATAGATTCTAAGCGAAACCAACGTTTCAATGTTAGTCCCGCATTAATCTTTTTGGAGTTGTGATCCCAGTGTCTTTTTTCTCTCTTTTTCTTACATTTTAAAACTCTTCGACTCAATTATCATCTCTCTTTATTAATATATTTCAAATATTAGTTTAGAAATATTTGGAAAAGAAGAGAAGAAGGATACTAGAATCATAATTCCGTGGATTCTATGCGAAACCAACGTTTCAACGTTCGTCTCGTATTGATCTCTTCGGAGTTTTGATCCGAGTACCTTTCTCTCTTCTTTTTCAAATCTTTCAACACTATATCTAAAATATTTTAAAAATTTTGTTTGTCTTTTGGGAGAAAACGATGGTTCTTTTATAGGGGACATTACGACTACTTAGCTTCGAATTTTTACGACTAATTAGCATCTCGTACCATCATTTAGTCGTAATAGAGTCGTACATTACGACCAATTAGCATCAACCTACCATTAAAGCCTTGACCGAAATCCTAAACACGTGTAGTCGTACACTAGTCGTAACTTAACGACCAGAGTACGTTTACACGGACATGTAGTCGTATATTGGTCGTTATGTTACGACTAATGTACGTCTATATATATTGGTAGCAAGTTAACCTCTGAGTTACGACTAATGCTTTTTTAGACGTAATGCGAAGTAAAATTACGACTACACATCTGTAGTCGTAATCCCTAGTCGCTATGACAACGTTTTCTTGTAGTGGTTTTATTATTTAATAGATTATATATGAAATTTTTAAAATATGATAAATAAGCAAAATATAAAATCATGGAGAAGTTGATAAATCATCATTGCTTTCTTTATATTTAACTACAAGGTGTTTTGCCCGCACTTGCGGGCATAATTATCTTATGAATATTTATTAGCTGATGTTCAATTAATTTAAAAATCAGCATAATGATTAATTTAAAAACCAACATAATAAGTTATTATTTATGTTTTCAAAAGTACCAAGGAAACATCAGATAATTATCAATGACAAAACTAAAACATCAGAAATATTTAAAAAATATATTTCTATAATTATTTTGCTTAATTTATATTTAATTATAATATTTAGACAAATATTTTATTTAATTTACATTTGATTATAATTTTTTATATCTTAATTTTAAATTTTATAATAGAAAAACATATTTTCAAGATAGCAATTTAATGCATAAGTTATTTATTTTCTCAAAATATAATGTGATAATTTTTTTAATTATATTATAATTATATAAGATTAAAGAAATTATGACATATAATTAAAATTACCTAAAATCATGGAGAAATTAATGAATCAGCAAATTCACTTCTTAAATAATTGTTCTGTTTTACTTTTAAATTATATAATATAAATATATTTTCAAGATAACAACATAATACATAAGAATTACCTTCTTTTCTAAAATATAACATTATTAATTTTATCTCTTAATTTAAAATTTAAGTTTTATATATAAAATATATTTGTAGATAACAACATAATTCACAAGAATTATCTTATTTTCTAAAATATTATATATTCATATAAAATCGTTGTATTTTGAAATAAATTATATATGAATATTAAAAATATGATAAATAAACAATTACCTAAACTTATGGAGAACATGACAACTAAGCAAATTTACTTCTTAAATAATAGTATAGATTGATAAGTTTCAAAAAGTATGTTTTGATAAGTTTTAGCCAAATTTTGATTTAACGTCCCCCACTAAAATTAATTTAGCTAAAGTTCCACAATGACAAAGGATATATAACTAAACCCTAGAGTAGGATATTTAGGACTCGTAAAAACTCAAAATACTCAAATCCATCAAATTTAACTAAAATCCATTATATTTAT